TATAAACAACACTTAAAGACCAGCCACCAAACACCCATTTACTGCCCCTTCCCCAACATTCATGTTGGCTTTGAGATATTCTTGCATAAGTCAGAAATGAGAGTTTTTTAAAAACAAATAGCTCTAATGTTCAGCATATTTCAGAAGTTCTTTAAGCAACAAAGACTACCTATGCTTACACAGAAATGTTTACCAAAAAATAAAAAGCCCTCTTCTATACTCACTTTGGTGGAGTAGCATTAAGTCTCTTCTGGCCCAACCCATATGGGAAAAAGACCCAAAGAAACACTTATAATATCTTCAGTAGTAAATATTTAGTTTATATGTGTGATAAATTTTATAAAAGCAAGCATTTGGAATTTATTCTTTTTTGTTTATTTTATTATCAATTCTGCTATTTTATGCTCAATTTATATTTTTGCATCATTCAAAAATAATCCAAATTTATATTATGCTGCTTCTAAGAAATTAAGATTTTTACTTAAATGGCTACTTAAGACACTTATTCAAAATTCAATCATCTAGTACATCGTGGGGAGGAGAAGCATCTTCATTTCAGTTAAGACCAAACACTTCATAATCTGCAACAGATTTTTACCTTTCAGTGAAATCTTTGTTATTTAAAAAAGAAAATGTATGACTCGAGATTTTCCTATTTTAAGGACATAGAGGTTGGGATTTCCAAAAAGTAAAAATGCAAGAAAGAAAAAGGAAAAGCTGTCTAAAGTCTTAATAGTTTCTAAAAAGAGGTCAAACAACATAGAAAGGAAGCAGAAAGCATACCATTGTTCATTTGGGGCTTACTCGCTTCATCCAAGTCCAAATCTTCTAAATCTAGGAAACTGTCTACCTAGAAAAAGGATTAACATCATTTTTATGCATATTAGGTCTAAAGAAAAAATGCAATTAAGAATCAGTAAATCCGTTTCCACAACACTCAACAGAGCTACCGAATCCCCTTCTCTCATTAACTGTTAGTCCTGGCTAAAGGTTTTTGTGTTGACTGTGCTTTCCGAGAGATGTGTAAAAGAAGCAGTAAATTTGGAAGTTGGCCTGGATTTTGTAGGCACCATAGTAATATCTCTATACAAAAGAGAAAAAACAGTCTGGGAGTTTTTGAAGAGGAACTTTGTTCCAGATTCCATTCCAAAATATATACCACCACCAAGACATTCCAAAAACAATGTCTCTGTTTTCTGGTTTTGTTTTATTGCTTTTGCTTCTCAAGCAAATGGTGTTGGTAGGTCTGGCTATTATCATCATAGTGTGTTTTTTACTTCAGAGGAGCCAAAGAGAAGAAACTAAAGGAAACAGAAAAGAAAAGTTCATTCAAAATAAAATCATCCTGCCTCAGGTAAATCACAAGAGAGGTGAACAGGGCAAAAAATCAAGTGTTCTCTCTTTCAAGCAAATAAAACTGAAAATTACTTCAAAGGTAAAAAGCAGAGCAAGTGACCTTTACAGACACAATAGCAGCATTTCAATGAAAAACTATTCCACGTGGAATATGGCTTTCCACTGCAAGCTGACAATGACACATTTTAGATGAATAGAATGGTAACACTTCAGACATGAACTAATTCATCTCAGGTGAATATCAAAGAGTGTAAATAAGAAAATTACTCCATTGCTGACACAAAGGAGAATTAGTAAAGGTGTAATGTCCAATGCCTTTTATGCCCATGATCTAATACATGTGCATAACAAAATACCTTAAAATAACAAAGTTAGATCTCATAATTGGAATTTGAAAAGATAGCCCTAGTCTGAATCTACCTTCTTTCAGATTGACTAGCCAGACTATGGCTATTACATAGGAATTAAAATGGTAGTTAATGAACAACCATATACCAGAGACGTTTTGCGGGGGTGGAGTAGAGAATGGGATCAAAAACGGGGGGGTGGGGGCGGGGGTGATGGGGAGGGAAGTGCACGGGATTATAGTGATGACACACGGGTGACTTGGTGATGGAAAACCCATGGGGATTACAATTGAGATGGAAAAAAAAATGTACAAAATGATGTAAAAATAAACTGTTATAAAATTAAAAACAATAATAATAATAAATAAGTAAAATGGTAGTAAGGACATAACATTGCTAGTAAGCACATAACAGGAGTTATTTTCTGACAGCCAAATGACAGCAAAAAACTCATCTTTCATCAGATAATTTTAATACTAAAACTTGAGAATCCATTATATTGTCATTTTTCTGAATGAAATTTGATAAGAGGAACTAAGTGCATGTTTATCAAAGCACCCTTTCCATTTGTTAAAGTTTGAAAAAAAAAATCTAAAACCGAGACAACCAAACAAGGTTCAACGTATTCAAATACCAATTGACAAAAAAGTGTAAGAATAAACATACACTAAATTCTCCAACATTTGAGTTCTGTGTTTTTCTATTTTTCTCATATCTTGTTATGGAACAAAACTGAATCATGTCTTACCTTTACCTTTCTGCCCCTCATCACATCACCTTGTAGGAAAGTGCCAACTTTTTGCCCTTCACCCAAAACTATCTGTAAACAAAACAAAAAATTATAAAGACATATGGATGTGGAAATTAAACAATGGAAAATAAAAGAACTGTTCTCACAGCCTCTTCATACAATATAATGTCCCTTCATACAATATAAGGTTTTGTTACTGAACTACACGTGATGAAAGAGATTAACTCTGTAATAGCAGTGGTCAGGGGAAAGGTCTCAGAAGTCTGATTTCTACCTCTGTTCTCCAGACTTATCCTTGATGTAACCTAGAATGTATTACTTAACCTCAGCTTTCTCATGTGTAGAAAAGAAACACTTCCCACCTCATTACCCCACTTCTCATCCCATACCAATGAAACTCTGAAGGTAAATGAAAATATGCTATAATAACTCTTTTAGATTAGAAAACAGTGCCACTGGACAAGTCTTTGCCTCTCACATGCTAGCTAATGATTACATAAGTAATATAATTCTTTTGTCAAAGACTGCCAGTAGAAAGTGAATCCTAGGGGTGGGGGTAAGTTTAGGGTGGAGAGAGAGAGTTTTTGTCCCACAAGCATCTCTCTGGAAGCAAGTTCTAGAAGTAGAGAATTTTAATACTTAGATTAGAAATGTATAAACCTACAAATTTTAACACACAGATTTTTCAGTTTCTTTATAGAAAACCCAATCTCATATACATCCTGTCCATAATATGTAAAAGAAGACATGATGAAGTAGAAAAGTAAAAGCTCAAATGGCTTAAAGGGTAGAACAGTTTTTACTAGAATTACTTGATAGTCAAAAATCACAACTAAGGAGAATATGAAGTGTCTATAAATCTTAGATATTAGGAAGACAGTATCCAACAAATCCAACTTGGAAATTCAACTTAACTCAAACTTTGAGTTTGAAAGAAATGAATCCATGACACATCTGAGAAAGTCCCATGGAAGGGAACTCTTTTTGTCCCTAAAAGAAGATAAACTAAAAGAAATAAGTAAATACAAGAAGAATAAGAATGTGGCAAATCCTTAAGCGGTTTTTAATGAAAATTGAGGATAACCAAGTTACTGTGATACATGCCGACTGGTGAAATCATGAACTGTAATGATGGTTTCAACCAAGCGTCCCCAGCTGCACTCCTTCGAGAGTTAGGAGTCAGAGCTACTCAGCCTATCATTGACTATTTCTTCATGGTATTTTTTAAAATGTATGCTTTTAAATTGAAATTTTTACACTGTTTCTGTAACTGTGCTATTATACTACCTGTTCCTCTTCTGATGCATTATGAAGAAAAAGAGTTTTACTTCTAAAGTGATAATTTGCTTCATCTTCATGAGTAGATGTTTTTGACGTAAATATGTGTCCTGAAGAATCAGCTCCAGATGCTCCTCTTTTGGTCACATTATGTTCTGAAATGATATAATATATAATAAATTTGTAAGAGAAAAAAATAAGAAAATTATTCATGATACTACATCACAAAAAAAAGCTTCAACAAAATTTTTTCAGTGGTCAGGTCATTTTTTTCAATCTCTTATATAAGCATCCATTCATTTCTACAAATCAAACGGCATTTTACTGTATGTATCATTTTATAACTCAACCTGAAAACAATACTTCCTCCTGATATTATTTTATATAATTTTAATGACTAGAAAAGTTCTTTGTATAAATGTAACATAGGTGACTTAACCAACCCTTTATTTTCAGCTATTTAAAAACAAACAAGGAATACCTTCATACTAAGTCTGTGCACATTATGATTTCCCTTTTAGGCTTAAAAAAAAAAAGAAAAGAATTGGGGGCCCTCCCTAGTGGCGCAGCAGGTTAAAGCACAGCACAAAGAAGCTAAAACAACTTCAGCATGGGTTCGATCCCTACCCTGAAGGTGATCCACATAGCCTAGCAGACCTCTCCTGACCCGCCTGCTGCTCCCCTCAGCAGTGTACTTCGTCGATCTGCCTGTTCTGCTCCCCACTCTGACTCTGGTGAAGCCTCTCACTGCCCCTTCACCTCTGGCCTGTACCCCAGTTCTGTATGAATAAATAAATAAATCTTAAAAAAAAACAGTGGGGAAATATCACAATTATAGGAGAATATTTTATAGTAATCTAGATTGGAGAAATGCTTAGGTCATAAAATTAGCTTTAGTGCTGGTAGTCATATTAACATTAATAACAAGGGCATCTTGTTACATCTCTAGATGTAGGTGTTGAAGTTTAAAATATCGCTGTGTTCAATAATGACTGAGGTCTGTGTCCAATGCAAAAGCAAATGAGACTTTATTAGGCTAGCTCGAGCTAGGATCCTTCCTGTACATGCCCTGACACAGTAGGTGCACCTCTCAAGGAAGGGCCCCGAAGATATACAGTGTGGGGTTTATAAAGGCAGTTAGTAGGGCTGGGGATTTTCCACTGGGTATGTCCGTTGCTGGTGGGTACCAGCAAATTCCTGTTTATCCAGATGTTACGGATTCAGCAGGGCTGGAAACTTATCTTGCTCAAGCAGGAATCGAGGCTTATCATTCGAAACCCAACCAGCCAGCACCTTCCAGGAACAATGGCTCTGGAAGGTGTGAGCTGTCTAGTGAGAAATTACTTTTCACAGCATTCCCAACAGTAGGTTCTGTAACACCCCACTTCACACCTAAGAAACAAAGGTCAACAGAGAGATTAAGTAACTTGTTCAAGATTGCACAGCTGGCAAGTAGCAGAACAGGAATCTGAAACTAGAGCTTCTGACTAAGAACCTGTATTACTAATCACTCCGCTGTGCCACTTAGGAAAACAGAGCACATGAAGAGAAAAAGGCTTAGAAAACAGAAGAATTACACAGAAGAAAAAAGAAATCCCAGAAAGGAAACAAAAAGTTTACAACTGTGCAAGAACCAAGAGCGTAGAATATCTTACAAAGCTCGAACTCACTACAAATGATAATATTTGAATACCAGAACCTATGTCAGCCTCACTAGAAGAGTGATAAAAGGATTAGAAAGAGACCAGGTGGCAGAAACCAAGGTATTTTCCATTGGGGGATCCTGTTCCTTCCCTTACAATACTCTACCATGAAATGGTTCCAGAGACAAAAAGGCCCTTTAATCTGTGAGCCCTTAGGCAGCTATCAAACTGAAGAGGCTATGAGCCAGCCTAATCCAATACAGTATTCTTGTTTGTTTCTCAAGAACCACTAATTCTCCATTGGCATCTCCATTGGTGAAGTCCTTATTGTTCTAAGGATCACAACCTGGTTCAAGTGCAGAGGGATACTTTGTTTACTTCTGCATACTCCATCACTAGTACCACTAGGATTTGTCGGGATGTCAGTAGGTCATTAGCACAGAAATAACCACCGGGAAACAGAGGTAAAGTAACCTAGACAAGAACACATTATGAATCCTAAAAACCAGGACTGTGGGGGGGGGG